GGGTGCTAGTCCATCAAGGTTTGGTCCCCCTCACAAAACTAACCTCAATTGCTACTCTCACGATCAATATAACTTAATTGGATTAGAAGTATCTGAGGTCATAGAAAAATAAACTAATTCAATAAAACCAAGAAGAAAAAAATTAGTGGACAAAAGGAAGATTAATGGGGAGCCATGCTTTGAAGGTGAATCCTTAATATTTTAATATTCTCTCTCTCTCCCTCTCTCCCTCTCTCCCCCTCCTCCTCTCTCCTCCCCTCTCCTCTCTCCTCCCCTCTCCTCCCCTCTCCACTCTCCCCTCTCCCCCCTCTCCCCCCTCCCCTCTCCCGTCTCCCCTGTCCCCTCTCCTCTCTCCTCCTCTCCCCTCCCCTCTTCTCTCCTCTCCTTCTCTCTCTCTCTCTCTCTCTCTCTCTCTCTCTCTCTCTCTCTTACTTATCTCTAGTGTTTATGTTCTGGGAACAGCAGCCTAGCTTAGCCAGCTGTGGCTGATAGAGCCTGGCTTTTTATCTTCTGTCACTAACACATACATCACTATAACAAATGCTTCTACTTGGCTGCCTGCAGCCTGAGACATTTCTATCTCTCCCCCACCCTTCACCCCTCACCCCCCAGTGACTTCCACTCAAGTAAAACCACATTCCAGGACACATGATAGAAAAGAATTCAGGATAACACAGAGTTGGAGTTCATTATTAAAAGGCATTTTGGACATAGATTTTAAGCAGAGAGGTGCCCAGGGGACAGTGAGACAGACCCAAGTATAGGTGTGGACTTCTTAAGGGCAAGGCGAGGCACGTGTTGTCTCGGTAATGGCTGGACAAATAATCCCATGGCTTTCTGTTCCCATCACTCAGACAGCTTTTTCTGGAAAAGCAAACTCTTTAACCTTTCAACTTGCCGTGAGCTGTAAAGTGGATTTATGAGGGGTGTTGTCAGGAACAAGAAGTGCCAAAAGTCAGTCGGGGTTCAAAGCCGCCTGAGACCTGAGTAGGCGTAGTTTATTAGGTTTGCTTACTATCTTTAATTCCCACTCAATGTCCAAAGGAAAACACCAGCAATTCTGGCGTTATCAGCGGTGTGTGGAGTTTCCTGCCTCTGGCAGCAGGAAAGACAAACCAACTAGATCTAGGGATGAAGGCTTTCCTTTCCCTCTCTCGGGTCCTCAATCTTCTTTCTTTTTTGCCTCATTATGAATGGCAAACTGTTGCCTTGTCTTAGAAATGTTTCAGCTTCCCACGGTCAGGGCATTGGCTAAAGGTTTTCTGGACACAGCCTTTAAGATTTTGAGGTATATTCTTTTTCTATATATAATTTATGAATTTTTTTTAAATCATGAAAATAGATTGTCTCTTATGAAATGCCTGTTCTACATCTGTTGAGGTTGCCGAGTGGCTTTGGCTTCTCTGCTGGTACACGATAAGTTCGCAAATACCAGAGCATCCTGACATCCTGGGCAACGAATCCACTTGATCCTTCTATGACCTTTTTAACTTAACGGTTACACCTGGTTTGGGTTGAGGATGTTCATCAGAGAGCACATTTATGTCTTCCTCACCTTCAACCAGCACGTGATTCTCATATGAGCAGACATCTTGTCTTGGTTAATGACATCCAAGATGCTTAGACATCAGTGGAAGAAACAACAAACAAGTGGTCAAAACTTTGAGAAAAAAATGCTAAAGAAATGAAGAAGCCCTGTCTGGGGATATCAGGGTCCTTAGAATTGATGGAATCTTAAATCCTGGACTCAGTGGGGCCACCAGGATGTACCAAGGGGAGGCGGCATCTGCTTATTTCATAGTAACCATTCCAGAGGCTGAGAGGCTGACCCAGAGGGGATGAGAGTTCTGAAGGGGATGAAATCTTCCTGAGTCTTCATGAAGGCTTCACACCAGCTGCTCAGGGGAGGACCCTGGGCTGAGAGGCGGACAGGGGCACAGAAACAGCTTTGGAGGCTGCGTTACTTCACTCTGGTTTTCCTTTTTGCTTTTCAAGGGGAGAGCATAAACACTCCCCCTCTACCACAGAGTATAGTGCAGTTTCACACATTTGGGGAAAATATAGAAATCAATTAATCCAGAATACGATGGATGAGCCTCGCCCTGGGAAAACCACCTTTATGACCAACCGTGGGTCTCCCCTGCCCAGTAAGCATCCAGTAAGCATTCACTGAGGCTTTCTAATAACCTCAAGGCTCCCCAAAATGAGTAGTCTAGTGAGATAATGAGATCAAAAATTGGGGTGATATGAGATGAAATCTTCCCTCCTGAGTCTGTCGGTTTGTCTTTTCTGCTGGCACAGCCAGGAAGCTCTGTACACCATTGATAACACCAAAATTCCCCACACTGACAATGGGCGTTTTCCTAAAGAGATTTCAACTGAAAACATTAAAGGCAAATGAAGCCATGCCTACTTAAGGCCAAAATGATTCCTAACCTTGATTTTTGTTTTTTTATCACTTCTTATTCCTGGCAACACCTCCCATAAATTCACCTTTCATGAATGTACAACTTTATTGATAAAAGGAAATTCTTTAGCCTCTCAACTTGCCGTGAATTACACTGTGGAAATTAGAGAGCCACAGGGCCAAGGAGTGACTGTCCCTTGAGAAGCCCATACCCTCACTGGGGGATATCTCACTCTTACCCTGGACACCTCTCTGTTAAGCTCTGTGCTTAAGGTCTATGCTTTAAAAGGCCTTTAGGGAGCTCTATTCCATGCAGGCTTGTCTGAGATGTTTTCTATGGCAAAGCCAAGAATCCAACCTTATCTGAGTGCAAGGCTCTAAGTGCAGAAGGGAACTCCCCAGGCTATGCTTCCTGGAGTGCTGAATCCACCCTCTCCCTGCTACCCTTAAGTAGCAAAAATTGATTGGTTCAAGGCTCTGAGGCAGAGACAAGAGGGACCCCCAGGTTAGGTCCTCATGAGAGCTGAGAGTCTGTCCAGGACACTTCTGCCTTTAGCTGGCATCGTGGACTCCTTGGGTAGGTAGAAATGTCACCCTGTGAGCACCCCTCTGAACCCACATTTCCCTTTTGTGTAAAGACATCAAGATATACAGGGTCATGGTCCTAATGACCTCATCTTAACTATTAGCATCTGCAATGACCCTATTTCCAAATAAGATCATATTCTAAGTCTCCAAGCCTTGATTAGGAAGTGAGGTCATGAAAAAGGGACACCATTCAACCAATAACATAGTAGAAAAGAACCTGACTTCCCCCATAGCCCTCCACCTTGGTTTTTCTGAGACAGGGTTTCTCTACATAGCCTTGGCTGTTCTAGAATTTGCTCTGTAAACCAGGCTGGCCTCAAATTCACAGAGATCCACTTGCCTCTGCCTCCTGAGTGCTGGGATTAAAGGAGTGTGCCGTCACTGCCCCAAAATCGTAATTTTAATAAATGAACTAAGTTTGCATTTTTCAGGACATCTGCTTGAATGACTCACAGTATAAAATACACGATGCTGTAATGATTACCAACCTCATTTATCAATAGCTTAATATAACAATATTTCACTTCTTGCTCATACTAGGTTCCCTGAGGGTAGCAGAATGTTCCAGCATGGCTGTCCTTCATCCATGACTCAGTGTCCTAGGAGAGAGCATCCACCTTCATGATCTTCCAAGAGGACCTTAGAAAGGGCATGGGCTGTATCTGCTTTGTGCTTGTCCCTGCCTGAATGTGACCATTTGAACTGACCCTTTGAATCAATGCTCATGTCTGAAGCATGTTTAGGATACTCATCTGCCATAGGCTGGAAAGTAAAGAACAAATGGGGTGTCTGGGCTCCCCACAACTGTGCCCTCCTCCAGCCTTGAGCAGGCTGGAAAGACCTTGTTTCCACAGAAGATCTATTGTAATAGGACCTAGGTGGACATTACAGCTAGAAAAAGTAAAAAAAAAAAAATTGTTTAGTCTAATTATATGAAATGTGTATCTACTTCGTTTTTGTTTCTGAATGGTTTTTAAAAGTATAAATACATTCTACATGTCTTTGTTATAGATTATTGGCCTATAAGTTATTGGGTATGATTAAAAATTTGCAACTCAGGCTTGGAGTCACTCAGAAACCAAATGTATAAAGGATAGGATTTTAAACAATGTCCCTTTAATGAGGTATTAAAAGCTGTGCATTCACATAACTGGTAGTCAAACTTTGTAACATGAAAATAATGCACTTGGTTTTGCTTTTAGAGAGAATGGATTGTTTAAATTGTTAAAAATTGGTTTTGTTTCCCAAAATTATGGTTATACTCTAATATTTCAAAAGAAACTTTAAAATATAGTTAAACTGTCAATGTTCCATTGGCTGCAGTTGGCAGTTCGATCGTGAGCTTGGGATTTTTTGACTCACCCATGTTTATAGTTAAGAGGATCGAGCAGGTAGAGATGAATAAAAGAGTTAAAAACAGCTGTAGCACAGTACAGGCCTGTTGCCCCCTTTACACAGGCTTTATTGGATACTGTGATAGAAGCAAATTTAACCCCTCAAGATTGGAAAACTATGAAAGGCTACTTTGTTGGGAGGAAATTATTTACTTTGAAGCTCTGAATGATGTTAAACAAGTAAGAGAAACTCCATGATGAATGCTCAGGCAGGTAATGCAGATTGGGATATTAACATGTTTCTGGGAGAAGGTCAATATGAAGGTAATGCTAATCAGATTGGGCTACCTGCAAGAGTGTATGCACAGATTGCAATGGCTGCCCACCATGCTTAGAATCAATTACCTACTAAAGGGGATCTCAGTGGAAATTTATCTGGTATTAAAACAAGGCCCTGGGACTTTATCTGGTATTAAAACAAGGCCCTGGGAATTTATCTGGTATTAAACAAGGCCCTGGGAATTTATCTGGTATTAAAACAAGGCCCTGATGAATCGTTTTAGGAATTTGTGGATAGGCTGCTAAAAGCAGCTGGTAATTTTCAGAGACCCCCAGGCAGGAGTTCCTTTTGTTACACAATTGGCTTATGAGAATGCTAATGTGGCCTGCTGAGCAGCTATCCAGGCATACAAAGCAAAGACAGACTCATCTGGATACATTCTTATTTGTGCTGAAATTGGGTTCTCATACAATCAGTGTCTGGCTATGACTGCTGCCTTACAAGGGACCACTGTGCAAGCAATGCTTTCACAGAAGTGAAAGGATAAATGACGTTTTAAATGTGGAGATTTGGGTCATTTAAAAAATTATTGTCTCGAAAACAAAGGTACTAGTGGACTGTTTTAGGCCCAGATTAAGGACATTTACATTTGAGTTAAGACAAAACTCACAGTGGGCTCAACAGAAGCTTGTGTGGCATTCCTTTTGTCTTGGTCATCCAGATCAGCCTCTAGAAAGGTGTTTTCCAGAATTTGTTTATTGCCTTGCTTGTTCTTTGGGGAGGAGGGGTCAGCCTCAGACCCAAAGACACTCACAAGAGACAGCTTATGGGCCAGGAGTCATAGATAATGATTATGCTGGAGAAATTAAAATTATGTCTGCTTCCCTCCATGGCATTATAGCTGTGCCTGCTAACAAAAGAACTGCTCAAAGAGTAAGATGACTAGATTGGCCTTCAACTTGGCCTTTAACTGATTCTCTCACTCAGCTACAAGGGATTGGTTATTCCATTAATCCAAAACAAAGTGCAAAGTTAAGATTGATGAAACTTGTGAGGCATTACAGCCTGACTTGCCTTTTCTAGCTGCCATTCCAGAAAATGCATATAGAATTATTATGGGTTTAGAAGATTGTTTTTATGCCATTCTTTTACATCCTGGTGAAGGTAGGAGGTAGGAGGTTTGCATTCAGTGAGTTTGCTTGTAATTTTGGAGAGCCCATGAAGCAATATCATTGGAAATTTTTGCCTCAAGGAATGGCTAATAGCTTTACATTATATAAAAAATTTGTTGCTGCCTCAATACAAGAAGTTAGGAGTTTGAATCTTTCAGTGTATATTATTCATTGTATGATATTTTATTAGCTGATCCCTCTGAAGGAGTTTTACTACAAGCCTTTGCTCTCATACAACAAGCTTTAAATTTGGGGGGAATAGTTGTTTCTCCAGAGACGATTCAAAGACACTATCCTTTTCAATATTTGGGACATCAGCTATATTTCTAAACAAATTGCGGCACAGAAAATTCAAATAAGAAAATTTAGTTTACTTACTTTAAATTATTTTTAAAAGCTTCTAAGAGATGTTAGTTGGCTAAGACCTCACCTTAAGCTCACCACAGGAGGACTTAAGCCTCTGTTTGATGTTCTCAAGGGGGATACAAATCCTAATTCCCCTAGACAATTAACTGATGAAAGAGGAATAGCTTTGCAGAAAGTAGAAGAAGCTGTTAGTTATCAATAGATACATTATACAGACTGATCAATTGTTGGCTGTTTCACAGCAGTCCTTTGGCAAAAGGGACCATTAATGTAGATTCATATTTCTTCATCTCCAAAGAAAGTTTTAACAACTGTTCTGAAGCTGTTGCTGTGTTGATACAGAATTGTAGGATAAAATTATGAAAGTATTTTTGGAAAGAATGTCTTAAGAATCTGATAAAATGCTTATTCCTTATTTCAAACAACAACTAAATTGGTTATTGCAGAATACTGATATTTGGCCTATTGCTGAAAAACTTTTTAGGTAAAATTGATAATCATTATCCAAAAGACAAGTTGTCAAAATTATCCTCTATGCATGCTTTTGTATTTTCTGTAAATCTATCCATGCAGCCCATAGAAAAGGTGTTTACTGTATTTACAGACAGCTCGTCTAATGTGAAAGCAGCACATGCAATTGCACGTGTTCGTTCTCTTGACTTCTCCCTGCTTCAGCACAGATCATTGAATTGCATGCTTTTGCCACCGTTTTTAAAATGTTGAAAAATCAAGCTTTTAATTTGTATACTGATAGCCAACATATAGCTCATGATTTATAATTGCTTGAAATCATTCATTTTTTTTAGATACTATTAATTCTCAAATTTTACAGTTATTTATACTGAAGAGGAAAATTCCACCAGATCCATCCCCTCCTGGAAGAGAAAGGTCATAGAATGCTTAGGCATCCCTCCCCTCCAGAAGGGAGAGGCTAATTAACATTCCTCAGACCACAAGGGGTGGAGACTGACCTGTGGGTAGGAGGGGCAGAGCACATGGACAAGGCAA